TTCCTTTTTCATTTATAATATTGATTTGTGTTTTCTTTTTTCCTGGTTAGTCTAAAAAAGTTTTATTAATCTTTCATCTTTTCAAAGAACCAGCTTAGTTTGGTTAATCTTTTTATTGTTTCTCTGTCCGTTATTTATTTCTGTTCTAGTTTTCATTATTTCCTTCCTCCTGCTCCCTTTGGGCTCAGTTTGTTCAACTTTTTCTAGTCCCATAAGGCAGAAAGTTAGGTTGTATATTTGGGACATTTTTTGCTTAACATAGGTATTTATTACTACCTATTTCTCTCTTACAACTGCTTTTGCTGCATCCCATAAATTTTGGTATGGTGTGTTTCCATTTGTCTCAAGATACTTTTTTATTTATCCTTTAATTTCTTCTTTGATCCATTGGTTTAGGAGAGTATTGTTTAGTGGCCCATTGCATGGGTTCGTGCACCCACAGCTGAAGGTGGAATCCTGCAGACTCGCGAGGAATCAGGCTCCCTCCTTTCTGGTTTCAGGGTGCGTCACCCGAGAACTGCTGCTGCCAAGTCACCGCAGTTTGGCAGCTCCTACATTGAGTGTCTGCCCCCTAGTGGTCAGTGCGCATCATATGTACCAGCTGTTGGATGGTCAGACGGTCACTTAGACTTTTATATATAGAGATAGATATCCATGTATGTATTTGTGAATTTTCTAGTTTTCCTCTTGTTATTGATTTCAGTGTTCTTGAACTTGGTAAGAGTTGTTTTATGGCTTAACAATCTATCCTAGAATATGCTCCAAGTGCACTTGAGAAGAATGTGTATTCTGCTGTTGTCAGATAAAATATTCTGTAAATGTATGTTAGGGCCATTTGGTCCATATTGTTGTTCAGATGTGCTGTATCCTCACTGATTCTGTCTGACCTGTCCATTGTTGAGAGTAGGGTATTGAAGTCCCATACTAGGATTGTATTGTTATTTATTTCTCCTTGTGGCTAATGTGCTGCATCCTCACTGATCTGTCTGACCTGTCCATTGTTGAGAGTGGGGTATTGAAGTCCCCTACTAGGATTGTATTGTTATTTATTTCTCCTTGTGGCTCTGTTAGGTTTTGCTTTATGTACTTAGGGGAAAATAATTTTTACACAGTCATATGCAATGATTCCTTTCATTGCTATTAATAAGCTGGAGAACTCTTCCAGTTGAACCCTTCTCACACTGTGTGTGTGCACATGGCTACAGGAAAATTTCAGCATCATTGACAAACCTGTACTATGCTTATATTTAAAGTAATTATTGATAAGTAAGGGCTTACTATTATAATTTTATTAACCGTTTTGGGACTGTTTTGTAGCTCCATTAAAAAATTTTTCTTATCCTGCTGTCTTTCTTTGTGTGTTTTGATGTCTTATTGTATCATTATGCTTTGACTTATTTATGATGTTCCTTTGTGTAATTACTACAGGTTTTTCCCTTGTGGTTACCACGAGGCTTATATAAATATCTTAAAATTATAACACCTTAGTTTAAGTTAATAGTAACTTAATTTCAATACAGTTCCTAAGATTTATACTTTTACTTCTCCCCCTCAACACTTGGGTTATTGACTTACCATTCCTTGTATTGTGTAACTAATAACAGATTATAGTAGTTACGATTATTTTTAATTTGTTTTTTTTTTAACTTTTAAACTAAAAGTATTACACACCATTACCAGTGACTTTTACACTACCTTATGTTTTTATGATGTTAATTAGTGTCCTTTTACTTCCACTCAGTGAACTCTCTTTAGTATTTCTGATAAGGAAGGTCCAGTGGTTATGAATTTCCTCAGCTTTTGTTGTGCAAGAAAGCTTTTACCCTCCATTTCTGAAGGTCAGCTTTGCAAGATATAGTATTCTTGGTTGACAGTTTTTTTCCCTTCATATTCTGAGTATGTCATCCATTCCCTTCTGGCCTGAAAAGTTTCTGTTGAGATGTACACCAAGAGTCTTATGGAGGTTCCCTTGTATACAATTTATCTTTTCTCTGGCTGCTTTTAAACTTTTATCTTTGACATTTGATAATTTAATCATAATGTGTCAGCATAGCTTTGGGTTCAACCTATTTGGGGGTCTTTTGGGCCTCTTGAATCTGGATGTCTATTTCTCTCCCCACATTTGGCAATTTTTTAAGCCACTGTTATTTTAAACTAGAGGCCCGGTGCACAAAAATTGGTGCACTGGAGGGGGCAGTCCCTCAGCCCATCCTGCCCCCTATCACATACTGGGAGCCCTCAGGGATGTCCTACTGATGGCTTAGGCCCGCTCCTTGATCCCCTTGGGGAGCAGGCCTAAGCCACAGTCTGGCCTCCCTTTGTGGGAGGCAACCTGGCTGATCAGGGGAAGGCACCAGCCCCATCACTCCGCTGTTGCAGCCACTGCCAGTCACAGCAGCCACCAAGGTGTTTTCATCAACACGGACTCCAATCCCTTCACCATGAAAAAATGATAGCTTTCTTTAGGCATTTTCAAGATGTGTCTTTCATAGGATATGACATTTCTTTCTTTCTTTTCTTATCCTCACGTGAGGATATGTTTCCATTGATTTTTAGAGAATGTGGAAGAGAAAGGAAAAGATAGAGAGAAACATCAAAGTGAGAGGAACACTTAGATTGGTTGCCTCCTGCATGAGCCCTGACCTGGGCCCGGGCCAGGGAGGAGCCTGCAACCTAGGTACGTGCCCTTAGTCAGAATTGAACCCAGACACGGCGGTGGGCAGGCTGAGGCATTATCCACTGAGCAAAACCAGCTAGGGCACGATATGACATTTCTTAGTCCTCCAGCAGCGGAACTTGCTTTTTTTCTCCAGGAGTGTGGTAAAAAACCCTATATCACCTTATTGGATTCTTATTACCCAAGTTACTAAGAATATTATCAGTGGCATACAGGGAGCTTAGCCAATGAGCAGTCAGAAAAGGTGTTTCCTCTGTGGTTCACACCAATTGCTGGCTCGGCCCCTGCCCAGGCCTAATGCCTCTGGCCCAGTCATTAGGCCTGGGCAGAGAACCCCCATCTCCCGCAATAGCCCGCTCCACCCCTGCCTAGGCCTAACGTGTGTGGCCCAGTCCTTAGGCCTGGGCAGGGGACCCCCAGCTCCCACAATCATCAGATCCGCCCCTGCTCCCGTGATCACTGACTCTGCCCCTGCTCCCCGCCATCACCGGCTCCCTCCCTGTTCCCTGCCATCGCCAGCTCTGCCCCTGCCCAGGCCTAAAGCCTCTGACCGAGGCGTTAGGCCTGAGCAGGGGACCCTCAGCTCCCCACCATCGCCGGATCCACCCCTGCTCCCCGTGATCGCTGGCTCCGCCCCTGCCCAGGCCTAATGCCTGTGGCCGAGGCATTAGGCCTGGGTAGGTGACCCCCAGCTCCCCGCGATCACCGACTCCGCCCCTGCCCAGGCCTAACTCCTCAAGGCATTAGGCCTGGGCAGGGGACCCCTCAGCTCTGATTGCAGGCTCTGATTGCCGCTGGGCGCCTACTTATGCAAATTAACTGCCATCTTTGGTTAATTTGCATACTCATCCGATTGGCTGGTGGGCATAGCAAAGGTACGGTCAATTTGTATGTTTTTCTATTATTAGGTAAGATATGCTTTCTCTTTCTCTCTGGAATTCCCAGAATATTGTTTCACTCTTTTTCATTCAGTTTTCTTTTTGTTTCTCTGACTGGATAAATTTCAAATGTCCTATCTTCCAGGTTGCTGATTCTCTGGCATGGTCTAGTCTGCTTCTGAAGCTCTCTACTGAATTTTCCCATTTAGTTATTGTATTTTTCAGCTCTAAGATTTCTGTTTGGGTAATTTTCTCAATGGTTTTTGTTGAACTTCTCATTTTGTTCACTCATTATTTTCCCAGTTTTGTTTAGTTGCCTGTCTATATGTTTTTATAGTTCACTAAACTTCTTTAAGAGGATTACTCTGAATAATTTGTCTGACAGGTCATAGATCTCTATTTCTTTAGGGTTATTAGTGCTTTATTAATTTTGCATAGTGGTATATTTACCTGACTTTTCATGATCCTTGATTTCTTATGTTGATATCTGTGTACTTGTATTAGTGGCATGTTCTTCCAGATGTTGTTGAAGAACTCTGTGACAAAACAAATCTGCAGTCAGCTCAGTTTGAGTTGTTGGATGTTTCTGCTACTAGAGTCTATTTTGGGGTGAGGCAATGGTTCAAGCTCTGAGGTCAGAGACTGGGGATGTGTGCCACTGGCTGAGAACAGCTGCATAGGACTACTAGCCTTTGTTCTCTGTCCAAATGAGGCTGTAGGATGGGCTCTGTACTAGTAGTTGCCTGAAATCTGTGGTCAGGATTACTACTACACAGTCAGGACTGTCTATACTCAGCAGTAAGTGGGGCTATGAATTGGCTGTGCAGGCCCTGGGTCCCATCCTGCTGCTTCACCAGGATAAGGAAGCTCACTGTTAACCAGAATCTGTTGCAGGCTCTGATTGCCGCTGGGCGCCTACTTATGCAAATTAACTGCCATCTTTGGTTAATTTGCATACTCATCCGATTGGCTGGTGGGCATAGCAAAGGTACGGTCAATTTGTATGTTTTTCTATTATTAGGTAAGATATGCTTTCTCTTTCTCTCTGGAATTCCCAGAATATTGTTTCACTCTTTTTCATTCAGTTTTCTTTTTGTTTCTCTGACTGGATAAATTTCAAATGTCCTATCTTCCAGGTTGCTGATTCTCTGGCATGGTCTAGTCTGCTTCTGAAGCTCTCTACTGAATTTTCCCATTTAGTTATTGTATTTTTCAGCTCTAAGATTTCTGTTTGGGTAATTTTCTCAATGGTTTTTGTTGAACTTCTCATTTTGTTCACTCATTATTTTCCCAGTTTTGTTTAGTTGCCTGTCTATATGTTTTTATAGTTCACTAAACTTCTTTAAGAGGATTACTCTGAATAATTTGTCTGACAGGTCATAGATCTCTATTTCTTTAGGGTTATTAGTGCTTTATTAATTTTGCATAGTGGTATATTTACCTGACTTTTCATGATCCTTGATTTCTTATGTTGATATCTGTGTACTTGTATTAGTGGCATGTTCTTCCAGATGTTGTTGAAGAACTCTGTGACAAAACAAATCTGCAGTCAGCTCAGTTTGAGTTGTTGGATGTTTCTGCTACTAGAGTCTATTTTGGGGTGAGGCAATGGTTCAAGCTCTGAGGTCAGAGACTGGGGATGTGTGCCACTGGCTGAGAACAGCTGCATAGGACTACTAGCCTTTGTTCTCTGTCCAAATGAGGCTGTAGGATGGGCTCTGTACTAGTAGTTGCCTGAAATCTGTGGTCAGGATTACTACTACACAGTCAGGACTGTCTATACTCAGCAGTAAGTGGGGCTATGAATTGGCTGTGCAGGCCCTGGGTCCCATCCTGCTGCTTCACCAGGATAAGGAAGCTCACTGTTAACCAGAATCTGGTAAGAGTGTACACTAGATATCCTGGTTAGGTGAAGCCACAGTTTTTATCTGCAGATAGGAAAAGCCACAAGATATTCAAGGGCCACTGTAAGCAGCACTATTAGATGGTAGGGCAGTCTGAAGGCTGTATTCAGCAATGAGTGAGACTATGAAAGAGCTTCTCTGCCCAGGTGCAATGGGAGAAGCAGCTTCAAGGCCACTAAGGTTCTTCATTTGTGGTCTTCACACAAACTCACCTGTGCTCCAACTTCCCTGGCTGAACAGGACTACTTGTTTTGCTCTGGGGACCATCGCTTTGCTTACCTGCCTCTCAGCTTGAGCATTGCTGAGTAATATAGTTTCCAGGTAATATAGCCCTTCCTGTCTGGATGAGCCTTGGAAGGATTCACTTCATGCAACTTAAATTTTCTTGAACAGACTTTTTAGTCAGGAGGGGCCAGAAGCTAGGTTTCAAGTGTTTGGGGCTATGACACTCAATTCTTTAGCCTGGGCACAGGCAGACCAGGTTCCAGGACTGGCAAAACGTTTGGAGAACTCAAATCAGGCAGGCCTGCACCCCACTGAGTTCCCTGGTCACACTGTGCCACCAACTTGGTTCTGCAGACGCACAAAGCTGCTCATTGGGGCTACTACTTGGGCTTTGCAGGTACCAGGGCAGTCTACTAAGATCTGCATGTTGGTTGTTGGAGGCCCCTCCCCCCTTCTCTATAACAATCAGATTCCCAGTGGTTGAGTCCTGCAGATTCCCCTGCAGTCCCTGGGGTGAAACCTGAGTAAGAGCTCCCAGGAAGTGACCCACAATACTCAAGGGTTTGGATGTCACTAAAGGCTCAGGGAAGACCTCTCTGTGCGATGCTGTACTGGCTTGGGGGCGGTCAGTATTGGTCTTTGTGGTGCAGGGTGTACTTCAGCCTAGCATCCCGTGTTCTAGGATTCAATAATTGGTGTCTTGTCCGTGAATTTTTGCTAGTTGGAAGTAAAGTCAGGACTGACCTGTGTTGCCATCTGGGTGACATCACTTTCTGCATATATTGAAGAGAGAAATCCTGAAATATATTCATTAAAAGCTGGTTTACAATTACCTAATGCACATGGTCACCAATTTGGTATTGTGTTGTAGAACCATCCTGGAGAACATGTCTTTGATCCTGCTTTGATTTCCCACTAAATACCCAAGGCTCAAAATTGGGAGAGCTGGCCTTAGGCTGACAGTAGGTGACTAGAATTCCCATCTGTAAAATGAGGAGTCGAGACATCTCTCCTACAATAAACTTTAGGAAATAATATTCATACCTTTTGACAAAGCAGTTTTCCTTTTGGACATCTATGGCAAATGAACTGAAAAACAGAAGGAAATTTATATGTAAAGATGTCTCTTATAGCATTTTTTTTTTTACAATTGTGAAGCAGTCTAAATGTTTGCCAATAGACAACTAATATTGTATTAACTAAACATAATTTGACAACTATTATAAATACAAAATGGGAGTTTATTTCAATGTAGAAAATGTCTAAGCTAAAATGTTAAAAGTAGCAAGATGCAAGTTTGTGCACATATTTGCAATTACATAGACTAGAAAACTATCTACATAATAAAAGCCTAAGCAACCATTACGGTGGAACTTCCAGAATGACCAGTCACTATGATGTGCACTGACCAGCAGGGGGGCAGACGCTCAACACAGGAGCTCAGCCAGAAGCCAGGCTCACAGCTGGTGAGTGCAGCGGCAGTGGCAGGAGCCTCTCCCACAGTAAGAAGCGAGGGGTCCCTGACTGCGAGAGCCCCAGACTATGAAAGGGATGTCTGACTACTGGGGATCAGGTCTAAGCCGGCAGGCGGACATTCCCCGAGGGGTCCCGGATTGTGAGAGAGAGCAGGCTGGGCTGAGGGATCCCCCCCACCCAGTGCATGAATTTCGTGCACCGGGCCTCTAGTATATAACATAATAACTGTTTATAATTGGATAGTAGTATAATTATACTATAATATTTTGACAATATTGACTTCTAAAAGACACCATTCAAAATTATAATAGTGATTTATTGTCATTTTATTCTTGCAAATGATCAAAGTTGAAGGTCATAATTGCACACATAAATGTAAGCACGTCAACCATAAGAGGTGCGTCTTTTTTTTATTTTTTATTTTTTGGTGTGTTTCCATCTTTGTGGAAAAAGCAAACCTGAATTAAAAAAAAATGTCTCTTTACAGGTATTCCTTTGCCAAAAGAAGATGCCATTTCTGCCCCCTTGATCTCCAGCTCACCAGTGAAAGAAGCCCGGGAGTACGAAGACCCCCCAAGCGAAGAGGAAGATAAAATAAAAGAAGAGCCTTTGACTATCTCTGAACTGTCATACAACCCCAGTGCAAGCCTGCTCCCCACCCCAGTTGATGATGATGAGATTGACATGCTCTTTGACTGTCCATCAAGGCATGAGTTGGAAAGAGAAGACCTAGATTCATTTGAGGAACTGGAAGCAGATGAAAATGCCTTTTTGATGGCTGAAGAAGAGGAGCTAAAGGAAGCTCACCGAGCTTTGTCATGGAGCTATGACATTCTGACCGGCCATATTCGGGTGAACCCACTGGTCAAGAGTTTTTCCAGGCTCCTTGTGGTGGGCCTGGGGCTGCTGCTCTTTGTATTCCCCCTGCTCCTCCTCCTTTTGGAGTCAGGTATTGATCTCTCCTTCTTATGTGAAATCCGCCAGACGCCAGAGTTTGAGCAGTTTCACTATGAATATTACTGTCCTCTCAAGGAGTGGGTGGCTGGCAAAGTAAACCTCATTCTCTATATGCTGGGTTGCTCATAAAATACATATCTCATATGACTAAGGGCTATATTCAATATTAGGGATGTGTATTTCTCAAGCAAATGCCTGGTTCTGAATGGTCAAGGAGCCGTCAACACGTGTTCCTTACTCAAAATTGATTATTCAGACCTTTAAGTTAGCTTTCCATAATTCACTGCACTTAATAAGTTTAAATCGAACACAGTAATTTCAGTTATAGGTCAGGGAGTTGGACTCTAAATAACCCAAAATGTTTATTTTTATTATATCACAGGGAGACTCTTTATCTATTATAATACATAATACATTGAGCTGAATTAGATTTCCCCCCTTTATAATAGTTATCATCATTATAAGATATAAGGTTCAGAATCAGAATTTTAGTGAAAATTCAAGAGAAAGTTTTTGAATATAATCCTTAGTGAAAATAATGTCCTCTAACCAATGCCTATACTGTTAAATTAATGCTGGGTTTTTGTTTTTTTAAAAATATTTTTATGTGTTCAGAATATTTTGGTAAATTTTTAGCAAAAAAAACAAAGAAAAAAAGAAAAAAAAAAAAAGAAGCCTCCTGGAGTTATTGTACAGACTGTAAGACTAATGCACAAAGGGTATGTTGGGAATTTTTTAATGTTTTGGCCCAGGTTTGTTTTTAAAAATAATTTTGGGTAAAAAAAAAAAATCCCATAATTTGTTGTTAGCTGCATATGAGATAGAAAATAGGTAGACTGTAGTAAGTAGGCTCCTAAAACAAATGATGGAACTGGAGGATGTAGAAACTGAGCATCAAATGGACCACAGGGTCCATTTCAAAAGTATTTGGATGGGAGGACTTGTTACTTTCATTTGCATTCTATCCATATATTTTGGCTAAGGAAGCAAAACTTTAAAGGAAAAAGTAAAGATATATGCCAATTAATTGCATGTTATTGTACATTTATCCAAGAGTGGAAGCAGATGTTGGACAAATGGCAAGTAGCAAAAACTGTTTTGGTGAGGCTGGTAGGCAAGCGGTGGTAGGAAGGTGATCTATTTTATGGAAGTGATGGTGATGCAAGGTATTGGGTACTGTAAAGAACAGCACACTCGCTGTCCAAGTTGACATGAATATATTTAAGTGGATCTAAATAAAAGTGGAGAAATGTTAAGGTACATTTTTGGTTCCTCATGCCATTCATTGTGTTTCTGTGGAAGAAACTTTAAAAGAAGTATGTGTATGTGAGAGAGGGGGTGGGGAGAGAATGGATTCTGGCTTTTTGATAAATGCCAATTATCTTTTGTGATAGTAATTATATTCCTTTCCTGGTTTCCTTAAGAACTCATTCATAATTGGGGCTCTCATTAAGGAAGTGGACGGGATTCATTAAATGACATATTTCAGCTTGGGTGAAGTAGAGAGACTCAGTAGAAGGGACAAATGTTCTAGTACCTTCCTTCATACCATTAAATCCATAACAGAAAGGCTCTGATGCCTTCCCAGGCAGCATAATGACCAATCCTGCGGTATACCGTAAGTGAGAAAGGTAAGAGCAAGGAGGTTTGGATTTCTCCATGAATTGAAAATGTTCCATTGCCTTCATTTACAAAGAGATTGGGCTTCCTGTAATCTCTCCCTAACTCCAACGGAAACTTCAGTTTTATATTAGCATAATCTCCACACTGGTCATTCCCATCCTACTTACTCATGGAGCTCTGAGTGCTTGATTAGATATTCAATTTTGAAAGTAAGTTTTAAAAGTCAGCTTATGAAGCCTTCAGTTAAGCAAACTATAATCAATTTATTTTATATTAAGTTTGTAGGGTGTTCTTTCTCACGTGCTTTCTTTTTGCATTTTAATGTTTCATGCCTGAAATTGGATAACAATATATACACATATACTTTCTATAGTTCATTTTGGAAGTTTGCAAATGACCAGCTTTGAAATTGAACTTATTCCCCCCCCCTCCCTTTTCATACGACATTGAAGTCATACTTTCTGATAAAAGGGCCCACCAGTGTCCCCTTTCTGATTATGCTTCAATTTCTGACCATACCAAATCATCTAGCTTTCGTCCTTTAAAATAATATTTTTAAATTATGGAAGAAATATATTGCCCATCATAAAACATTTGAAAACTACTGACAGGATAAATATCACATGTAGTCCAACCATGTAGATCTATATTAATTAGTAATACATTTATTATTTTTACATTTCCAGCTAACATCTCTTTTTTCTCTTAGGCGAAAACTTGATTATTGAATAGAAATATTTTAAGTGAAGGAGTTGACAGGATAGGGTCGGCTGAATTTAAACAATAGTCACCAAAAGTAAAAGTGGGATAGAATAAGAGCCATTTTAGGAATACCACTTAAGTTTGGTAGAAGACTTGTCACCAGCTGCCTGAATGAAATGAGAAAAAGACTGCTTCCAAGATGGAAAGTATATAATAATATAGTGAGATACAGTGGTCAAAGCAAGTGTGTGAGTATATGTATAGTCCATATTATTGGCATATGTGTTTATGTATGAATATATGTCACCCCACTGATATGCCCCTCATACACAGTTGTGTTTACTTTTTCCCAATTGAGGAATTTGTGATGTTATTATTCCTTTTCCCCATCAGTTATCACGGTGGATAAAACAGTCTCAAAGGTTCCAATTTCTCATGAAAATCACTGTGTGTACATAATTATATATATACACACATATATGGCAAATACATATACACACACAATCTTGTCTTTAGTGCTATTGCAAGTTGGATCATGAAAAAGTGTAGGTAAAGTATCGTGTTTCTGTCTGTGCTTGGAACATGTAAAATGTTATGTATTTGGAATATATTTTGTGGCTTGTCTAATATTTATAAAATCAACTCTGGGAAGAATTCAAAATGAATTGATTTCATTGAAATACTAGGGATATGGGGGCCATGTTACCTATAATTGGAGCCTTATCTTTGTATAGTGAAATTTGCATTTCTATGTCAACATTCAGATTGTTTTATATGTTAATATGGTGGCAGAAATCCCTAATAAACGTACTCTGGGGAAAAAATGTTTCAGCAATCATTTAGTTTTATTCACAGTAAAACTGTATAAATAGCCTGTTGGAAACTACAGAAAGGTGCCATCTAGGACCATGAAATGAGGTCACCCTTGAATGGTGACAGTGTGAAAAACATGACAGACAATGGATGGAAGTAATATTTTGCAGAAGCCACCCTGGCTAAAAGCAGGAATATTGGGTGTACTGGAAATACACCCATCTGAGAGACAGCTATGGCACCAAGGTAACTAGAGAAACAGAAAAAAAATAGGAGTGTTTTGCATGACAGGTAGGAGGGAGGAGGAAGGATTTTAGAGTGCTAGAAATTAGTATGTCACCATTTCTGGCCAGAAAAGGGTGTCTTCCTGTGCTAGGAATAGTTACGCAGCCTCGGCTCTGCAACACTTGCCATTCACCTTCTCCTGCCTGTTCATGGCCCTGGGAGAATTTGCCTTTTCTATTCTATCCCTATCTTCTCCTCCATGCGGCATGGCCCTCTGCTTTGGTTTGTCACAAAGCTAAAACTGCACACCTGACAGTGAAATCAGAGGGTTTTATTCTGCATGAAGCAAAAGGGACTCTCTGTGCTACAGGAACACCATGTGTCCTGTGGAATTGTACCCCAGCTGTGTGGCCTCTTAAGTCTATCAAGTTCTTCACCCCCGCCCCCCCCGAGTTTTATCGAGATATAATTAATGTATGACACTGTATTAGTTTTAGGTATACAACAATGATTGAGTTTAGCAAAATCCATTACCTAACAGTTAGTTTTTTTCTTGTGATGAGAACTTTTAAGATCTAACTCTCTTAGCAACTTTCAAATATGCAATACAGTATTATCAACTGTACTCACCATACTGTATATTATACCCCCCGAACTTATTTATCTTACAATTAGAAATTTGTACCTTCCGACCCCTTTCATCCATTTCACCCATTGGAGGTGTGTGGGGGGGTGAAGTCTGTCAAGTTCAAGTTCTTACGCAGCAGTCCCCAGAGGTTCAGGATCTAGAGTACAGGCAAGAAAAGGAATCTGTGGTTAGTGTGCAGGCATGAACTGACATGGACCTACTGTCCCAGCTCTAGTCAGTACCTTTTTGGGGGTTTAGTATCTGCAGACTGGAAGGCTCACACAAAATGATCTTTGGCCACTTTTTTGTTGAGTGTTCCAGGCTCCCAACCCAACCTTGCCTCTTGGTAGAAACCCTTTCCTTATTCTATCATTTCTTGCTCAAATAAATAGAGGAAAGATCTCTTAAACACACACTCCAGCTTGGAAGGAAAGTACTGGGGAGGAGCTTCCATCTGTGGGGTAATCTCGGGATGGTTATGGTTGATGAATTTGAGACTCTTTGGGCCATCTTTCTCTTCTGGGTGGAGATATTGTGCTAAAAGTCCCTGCTTACTTGTCCTCCTGCTTCTCTCTCTCTCTCTCTTTCTCTTGGACCTGCTTTTGGGCATCCAGTCTCCATGCAGTAAACAGACCCAGCAGGACCTGCCCGTGGTGGGCCAGTCAGGACTCTGCTCTCCACAATCCAGCCTCGTTTGTGATGGGGTGGGTAAGTCTGGCGAGCCCTGCCCAGTGGGCTCAGCTGTCGTCACTTCAGAGAGGACAAAAGAAGCCTCACTTGGGCCTCAAATCCCAGCTGTGTTCTCCAATCCATCAATAAAACTGATTTTAATCCTCTTTTGGCCAAAGTGTATTATTTATTGGGAACTGGGGTTGGGAGGAGCAAGATTTACACTAAACACGCTCAAGAACGTTCAGGATCTCTGCAGCCTCCAATGTTGCAAGGAAGGAGTGGAGAGGCTGCTCCCGGCTGACCCTCAGGCATCAGGGCATGTCTGCCACTGACCTCAGCATGTCACCATTTCTGGCCAGAAAAAGATGTCTTCCTGGTGCTAGGAATAGCTACCCATGCCTTGCAAATGGGTGAGGGGACTTGGGACTTAAAATCTTAGTAAAGACCAGGGCATTAGTTGGAAGCACACATCTCTACTCTTTACCTATGGCTGATGCTTATCCCAATATCACTTTGGAAAGAGAACCGAGGCCACTTTTCTGATTGTAAAGGAAAACTCTTAGAACAAAGGATAAGCTTTGTGTGAGTATCAAGTATTGAAACAAGTCTTGCAAATTATACAGCTCCTCCAATTAACACGGATCAACTACAAGAATTATGATTTTGGCAATTACAAGGATTTTGAGTTTTCCAAGGAAAGTATCCTGAGTCTTCTCATCTACAAGAATTATGATTTTGGAAATTACAAGGATTTTGAGTTTTCCAAGGAAAGTATCCTTCAAGGAAGAAAATGATTATTAACATACTAGAGGCCTGGTGCATGAAATGCATGCATGGGGGGCGGAGGGGTGGGGTGCCCCTCAGCCCAGCCTGCACCCACCCACAATCTGGAACCTTTCTGGGGATGTCCGACTGCCAGTTTAGGCCCGATCCTGTGGACCTAACCACTCTGCCTGCCTGCCTGATCGCCCCTAACCACTCTGCCTGCCTGCCTGATCGCCCCTAACCACTCTGCCTGCCTGCCTGATTGCCCCTAACCACTTGCCTGCCTGCCTGATCGCTCCTAACTGCTCACTGGGGGGTGAGGCCAGCTGGGGCGAGGAGCCGTGGTCATTCTGGTCTCTGGTTGTTCTGGTTGTTTCGCCTTTTTGGTCACTGGGCTTTTATTATATAGGACAGACAAACCAACATTAGTTTCCACTCTGCTTGGCAGTTAAGTTCTTCATTAAGCGAAAAACTCAGTGTTCTGGTTAAAGCATCACTCTCCTGTAATTTCCTGGGGAATCAGCTTCCTTCCACCTTGAATCAGCCTGAGTGTCCTGACAACCCTGAGCTGCTGGTTTTGCAGCTGCAAACAATTGTGAGCACATAAATGTACTGCTCCCTGGTCACAGGATTACTGTATAATTTTTTGTACATACCAGGACTCTTTTGAGAGTGAAAGGGGATATTTTTAATGATTATGTCATAGCAACAGGGGTCAACTAGGACTGATTCAGATACTCTGCCATAAGGCTTTGCCCAATCAGCTAGATGCCCTCTTTTAACAATTCCTCCAGCTTTGTCCTCTAAAATATTGACAAGGTGAAATAGGGAAGGATTATTGCTCTATAGTCATAGTTCTCCTACTTGCCATGAAGAACCAGACTAAAGTTCACCAAAATTAATTATATCATGTGTTTTAAACAAGTCTTCTGGCATCAAATATTCAATGCTAAATACTCATTTGTTCATTTATAATGTTGATTTCTTGTTTGATGTGAGGCAGGTAGAGTTAGAATGATCTCACTGTTGCTTTCACCTCCATAGTTCTGAATTTGACTTTTCTGAACTACACACAAAACAATGACGACTTGCTTAACTGTGAGCAAACGATTCACACTAAGGACACGCAAAACTGAGTTGTACAAAAGCCAAGTTGATCATTTATCATGAGAAGTGCCAGTCAGCTTGGCACTAGTTTGCTGGATGCTCCACCCCTGCTCTTCCCAGAACATAAACTGTAATGTGAACCCAACACTATCAATGAATACAAGGAATCACCGCTGGAAAGCTGCTTCTATGGGCAGTCTGCCCCAACAGACCTATCTCAAAAAGGCTGGGGATGCATAACATATATTTTATTCCAAATCTCCCATTTTTGCAAATTTCTTGTGGTAGAGGCTAGAAGGGGATCTTAACACCATTTCCTCATCATCCTGTGCCCAGAATTAGACTAAGTTTCCCAGCCTCATGTACTTAGGTATGACAATATTTCTGATTTGTGGCCATTGGAATTGAACAGGAAGTGATCTGTATCACCTCCAAGCCCTGCACTAAGTGTGCACCTCCATTTGCCACTAGATGTCAACACCTGTAGTGACTTTGAAGCCACCATTTTAGGATGTTGTAGTTACCAGCAACTTAGATCCCTGAATGACTATGTGGAGCAGAGCCTCCCCTACCTCACCCTAAACCAGACCTGTCTTGGACTGTTACTTGAGCAACAAAGCCTTAACTGAGCAATTTCCACGTCTTTTGTTGTCACCACTCCTTTCCCTCAGGAAGGAGACTATAGCTGAAAGAAGGTATTGGAACAGCTCAGCACTGGAGTTTCCGGGGAGATTCTACTAGAGAACCACTGTGCAGAGGGGAGGATATGCCTTCTGTGCCTGAGAATGCCAGACCTTGGTAAGGATCTACGTTTGGTGCTAATATATCTTGTCACTTTTGCTTTCTGGGGCTCAACTGAAACCTCACATAGTTAGAACCAAAAGTAGTCCACCTGATGGACAAAATCACCCCTGGTTGAGTTTTACCGGATTCAGAAGTGATTTCATGGGTGTGTGACCTGTGAATTATAGAGCCTGTTATCTAGCATTTGGTGTAATGCTCTGCTCTCACCATCCTGAAATTCATAATTCTATCTTTGAACTTATGTTTTTTAAAAATATATTTTTATTGATTTCCGAAAGAGGAAGGGAGAGGGAAAGATAGAAACATCAATGATCAGAGATAATCATTGACTTGCTGCCTCCCGCACGCCCCCCCACTGGAGATGGAGCCCACAACCCTGGCATGTGACCCGGACTGGAATCAAACCTCGGACCCCTCAGTCCGCAGGCCGACGCTCCATCCCCTGAGCCAAACCGGCTAGGGCTGAACTTATTTTTTTTAAGTGAAGTCTGATGAAACAATGAAATGTACAGGAGATCAGTCAGGCAACAGTGGGCACCATGAATGCTGAGCTGTTGGCCTAGATGCCAGGCACAAACACATGCATGGGGTAGTCTGAGACCCTAGGAGTCCCCGAGGGGACTCTGCACCAGAACCTGAACCTGGATTAGAGAAGGCAGCTGCAGCAGAAGCCGGCCCTGGGAGATAGGAGGTATTCCACATAGAGGCAGCACTAAAACCTGTCGTGGGAGGCAAGCTTGCCCATCAGTCCCTGGAGCACATCCCTGAAGCATCTGCACAGATGTTAACTCTCTGGCCTGAGCACTGGTACCAGATCTGCCACCACTTAGGCAGTAACACTTTCAGTAAGTCTACACATGGGCATTACAATACACTATCAAGAGTTATTAGAATTCTTCAAAGTGTTTAGAATCTCTGATTTTAAAAAGCACTGCAACATTGAAAAACATATCCACAGACTTAGAAATAGAAATTACATTTAAAGATCCTTGCATTTCAAAGAAATAAACCCCACTATTTTCATATAAAAACTTGCATGGACCAATTATTAACAAATAGACAAATATAAAATTACTTTTCCTTGTGATTGAAGATAGAGTACAGTTGTCCCTTGGTATCCATGGGGGATTGGTTCCAGGCCCCCCACAGGATACCAAACTTGTGGATGTTCCAAGTTCCTTAGATAAAATGGCATAGTGTTTGCATGTAACCTATGTACATCCTTCTGTCTATTTTAATCTCTAGATTACTTATAATACCCAATATAATGTAGATGCTACTAAACAGTTGTTATACTGATTGTTTATAGAATAATGATAAGCAAAAAATCTGTGCATGTTCAATAAAGACACAACCATCATAGACCCAACTATATAGTACACACCAACAACGTAACATTTTTAGAATGTTTTTGATCCATGGTTGATTAAGTCCACAGATGCAAAAGCCATGGATATGGAGGGTTGACTGTATTAGAATTCAGAAATAGGCATTCTAAATTATATACAAATAATGAAACCACTTTCAAAATCTCTGCAAGTTACAGGAAATGTCAGAGGAAACATTAAAATGCCATTATATGTGTTTATTAACATTTAAACTTACATTCAGACTTATAAAAAGCTGATTTGCAAAAAGAGTTAAATCTTTTTAGAAAAACTGCTCTGCAAGAATTAGGAGCTCTAGATGTACTAACATTTATAATTCAAAATAATTTACCAGAAATTTATCCTAATGTTTTTGGAGCCTATAAAACTCTTAGCAGCACCAGTAAGAGTAGCATCAGCAGAAACATCCTTCTCAAAATTA